TAGGGAAACACAGGTAATCTTTTTAAAGTGTTTCATTTAGATTTTTTTTTGTCAAATTGAATAGAATGTCAATATAATATAATTATTTCAAATAGAAATTAGGCAATAAATGAGAAATAAGTATGTACTTGAATGTATTTAATTGATGAATATTATTAGTCTTTGTGATTTTTGTTAAAAGTAGTTAATTTTAGCACTTACACAGACGGTTTTTTTTCCTCATTGCAGTATATATTACTTGATATGCATTTTTTTCCAGACTGTTTTTGAAAAAAATAAGCTCCAACAAACAGTAAATACGACATCCACGCAGATGACTAAAATTGGTCTTTATGTGTCAAACATGACTGACAAAATAATAAGACCTGGGAAGTACGTTACGGCGGATGAATATCATAAACGTAGACTTGAAGCAGTAAGTTTTTACCCATTTGAATCTGTAAGCCTGCTTAAAGTTTAAAATATCTGCTCAGTCTTCACATTCCTTTTTTTTTGCGACATGTAGGAGGCATATACCAGCTCATTTACAACATTAATAATGTTTTAACAACTTCTGAGACTTGTAAGTTTTTAAATATTAGAAATTCTAAATTTAAACTAAAATTTACTTATATAGCATTAGGGTTTAAAAAGTAAACTTATTCCTGTGCGGAAAATCTCGCTGTCAAGAACTGAATGTCCAAAAGGAGACAGAGGAGTCCTAAAACTTTATTCGAATAAAGGGAGAGTCCACCGGGCATATCCCTGTGGGGTCTCTCAAATTGCTGGGGGACGCAGCCCCCCTTTTATCCTAATTTCCCGACCGAGGGACGCCCTCTCCTTTTCCCCATTGGCCAAGGTACTCAGAAGTTACAGCCTTCCCGGCCGCCTACACCGAACTCCGGCCTCCCGCCATCTGTTCTCACCTGAACTCACCAACTCCTTTGTCCCCCTTGCTGAAGAATGTGGGGCAATTGCCCTATTTCCCTCCTTTGTAAAGGCCTCCATCTCCTTGCAGATGGCTCTTTTTGTCCTTCTCGGCTCATGGCTCCACTCAGTCTCCCCTCCCTTTGTCCTGCTCTTCAGCCAAAATGTGGAGAAACCTCCTCATTGATGAATACAGAAACTTGAGCATTCCGCTCATTCCTATGACATTCTCATCCCTTTAGAAAGGCCCAAGCTACATACTTAATGCCATGAATGACCTTATATGGTAAAGCAATAGAACATTTAGGAGACCTGGATTCAACTTCTGAGGTTTTTCTTTATTAGGTGATATTTGGCAAAATGGTTCATTTTTGATAAATTACAGACCATCAGCTTTGGCATGAAGGCAGAACCTGTCTGTTCAAACACTTTGTGGGTCTTTTGATCAAGGGTCCTTTGGGGCACTGAGCTGCTTCATGAAGGCTCCCTATGTAGTCAGGGTGAAGAGGCTGCCATCCTGGCATTGTGTTTTGGGTTGCTCTTTGATCACTCTATTCTGTGATTGCACGTGTAACTTAAGTACTCCAAATCACCATGTTAGAGTTGGCATTTGCTTCTTAAATATTCTGTTCTTAATTGGATGCTTAAAATAGGCAGTCTGAGTTTACCTGTGTGTGCATTGGTTTCCTCAGCTGTTGAAGCGGGATAATTGCATTGATGTGCTGCTTGTGGCTCAGGTGCTGACCTGCTTGGTGGGAGCTTCAGGGCCACTTTAGGACTAGGTTCTCCCTAGTATAGTACAGATACTTCCTCCATCCTTTGGAAGGTGTGTGTCCTAACAGCCTTGTATGCATCATGTTCACTATGTGCCCATGAACACAACGCAATGTGACTTTCTATAACAAAAAATAAGCCTCTGTACAATAGAAATATTCAGAAATGTAGTTAATTAGCTAGAAAAAATAGTGTAAATAGTGTAATATTTTTGTTCTAAACTGTTGTGTTTTAGATTGATGATTCTTATGCATTTTATCACATGTAGGTAATAGTATTGCAGACCTATTTCCGTCGCTGGCATGCTATAAATTTAGTACAAAACATAAGGGAAAAAAAGAGGTTAAGGCTGGAATGGGAGGCACAGGAAGAGTTAAGGAAAAAAAAAGAGAAAGAAGAAAAACTACAAAGTGAGTACAGACGGAGACAGAATCCTAAAACAAAAGAAGACTATGAGCTACTTTACCGTGCTTTAGAAGGTAAGTTTTTTCTTAAAGAATTGCTCGCAAATCAGTAATATGTTATTGAAAAGGGTATATTTTGTTTAAAACAAAGCTTTACTGCTTTTATGGTTCTGTAGCTACTTCCTTTGATGTTCTGGATAGAAGAATTTCATTTGAAAAATATGATTTAATGTTCATATACTTCTAGAAGCCTGGTTAGGAAATAATCAACTTATAGAGTGATGCTGATAGTTGTGCTATTTGACAGTTTTATTGTTTTCTTCATTCATCTCTAATGTTAAGGACAGTTAGAAGAGAAGAACTCTTTTTTTGTAGAGTAATAAGATTGAAATATATCTGGTACAATTAAGTAGTTCAAAATAATGCCATAAAGAATTCAATGTTAAGGTCTATCATTCATAATTTAATATGTGCAATTTTTATAATGAGTTAATTTATTACCCAGAATTTTACAAAAGATAACTAATGCTCTTTTGTCTGTGGTCTTTTCCTCTACTGTTTTTCTTTTCCTCCTATTTTCTTTATTTCATGGTTCACTAAACCACTGCCAGTCTTACAGGGCATCCTCACAGACGTAGTTCTTTTACCAGAATGAAATGTATCTAATATAGACAAGCATCTCTAACCTTTACTGGCAAAGCAAAAGTGAACACTGCAGATAATTGCCATAACAACTAACAGGAGGATGGCATTGCAAATGCAACAACAGGAGCAAAAAAAATCGAATCCTTTTTTTTGGATAAACAGAAGTGAAAACCAGTAGAAAACAATAAGCTTATAGCAGCATATAATAAAACTGCAAGAGTTCTTTTAAAAATGTCTTCGTAAACAAGGTACTTGTTTTGTGGCTTGTGGCAGAGCATGTTACCTAAGGCTGGCTGCTTGGTTAGAGCCTAACTCTTTGGTTAATGGAGTGGAGGTCAGTGGTGGTTGGAGATTACTGTGCCTGGTGCACGTTTGGCAGAATGGATCACCTGTTAGAGCTGTTTCTTCCATGATAAACTGGCCAAAAACGTGGTGGCCTGTGCTGTGTTGGAGGCAACATTTTTATTCAGAAGCTGTAAGATCATGATTCAAGAATTCCCAAGATACGTCCGAATCTTTTAATTCTGTCATATTTTATGTGTGGCCTTGAACTAATTGGGTTAAATGCAACTTCAGCTGTTTGAAAGTATAAATGACTTAACAATATTTTTACTTTACATGACAAATTTTCATTATTATTGGTTCCCTCTTATGTTTGGAAATAGTTTATTCATGGGGTTTGCTTTTTGTTTGCTTTTTTCCTTTCTGATCTTTTTTGTTTTATTGGTACTTTTTTGATTGTTGTTTGTTTTGTTTTGTTTTTCTGTATGTGTTTTTTTTTTTTTTTTCATTTATCTTCCAGAGATGTGTAGTTTTTCACTTCTTAAGAATCAAGGTCTTTTATGTGTGTATCTGATTAGGTAATCAAAGCTTAAAGTACTGAGATCACCTTTTTTTTTTTCTCTCTCTATTTATTGCAAGCCCTACTCTTTGGGATCTGATTTGTTTTATTGATCTACCGTTTTGCTTAGAAAACGGCTTTCTGGTTAATGTTCTATCCACTGAGTGGATATCTTAATTTATTTGAATGAACAACCTTATTTGCAGTAGAAACAACAAAGTGAGCTTGTGAACAAGCTTGACATTCGTAATATTTTTAGATATGAAACATGTAGTTTTATAAGTGTCTCTCTTGCTTAGTAAAATACCATTGGATTCACAAATAAGAAAGCTCTTTGCACGTGCATGAATTTAGTATCTCCGTGTCAACCTGAGAAGCACCTGCCAGTTCTAAAGAAGTGAAAGGACAAAGTTCAGTATTTGAAATGTCTTTTTCACATTGTGTCTTTTTTTCACCTTTTTTTCATATTTTTTTTCGCATAAAGTTCTGATATCAATCTTTGTTTTTCTTCCTGGTAGCTGACTAGTTGCTTCTCTGTATGGACATTTGCAGTCATTTGCTTTATTATAACGGAGCTTACTGATTCCATAAACAATGTTTTTCCTACCTGCAGCTGAAAACTACTTTTACATTCCTATAGTGTCAACAGTCTATACAAGCTAAATCATTGTGACACTAATAGAATGAGATTATTGTCCTCTGGAGAGCTGTGAAGGGTATTGCTGCTGATCACAACAGGAGGATACTATTACAGGGTCAGCCAGTACAAGCAATTGCTTTTTGGCACAAAAACTTGCCTGTTGACTGTATGGTGTAAATGAGATACATGATCAACACATCAACGTGTCTGCATCTAGAGATGTTCATTATTTATGTTTAAAAGCATAAACTATTTTATTTGTATGTGTTATAAAAACTGCAGTAGAAATCATAATGAATAAAATCCGCAAGCCTATAAAACAGACAAGACGAACATATCTAACCTGATTATACATGTGTGGTCTATCAGGAGATGAATATTGATAAGTGTGTTTGAGAGGCTCTTTATTTCTATAGGAACAAAGTTGCTTACTGTATTTATTAGATTTGCCTTTGAAATTGCTGCCCCCTTGAGGCATATGATTCCCTTCTACAGGAACTTAAGGAAAAAAATTTTAACAGTGAGGGTGACAGAGCACTGGAACAGGCTGCCCAGAGAGGTTGTGGAGTCTCCTTCTCTGGAGATCTTCAAAACCCGCTTGGACGCAGTCCTGTGCCATGTGCTCTAGGTGACCCTGCATGTGCAGGGGGGTTGGACTAGATGACCTCTAGAGGTCTCTTCCAACCTCAACCATTCTGTGATTCTATGATTTATATAAAGCTTCATGTTATGCCGTCTGGTTTTATTTGAAAATATCTTGGGCTACTCAGAACTCGTCAGACAGCAGTCATATTCATACCAAAGCTTGGAAAGCCTCAAGGAAATGAACTGAAATACTTAAAAATGGAAAACATAAGATATTGCAGATAAGAAAAACCAAAGGCAGAAAGTAAACCTTCCCCTCTAACTCTCCCTTTGCCCCTGCCTGTTCTTTCGTGTTTTCTTTGCACTGTGCCTTGTTTTTGTATAACTGTTTGGAAACAGTAATGACACTTTGAGATAAGATCCAGGAATGCAGAACTTCCGATCTTAAAAAATCCCTTCTCCCCACCACCTTGCTCCCACCTGGCTCCAAGGAAAGAGAGACAGACAGGAGGGGAGAAAAAAAAAAAAAAAGAAAAGGCCAGAATGCCTGATTTTACAGCATGCTCTGACTCACGTGCTGCTGACATTATTATTGTTTGCTTTGCATGTCACTTCCTTTCACTTGAAGGACTCACTAGTAAAAGAAGAAAGGCAGAGGAAAGCTGCTGTCTGGCTGTTAACATATGTGAACTCCATCTTGGATGCCAAGAGATGATGCTACAGACATACTCAGTTTATGACCGTGCTTGCTAAAATTGGCTGTCTAAATTAGACTAAGTTTCAATGTCAGTTTTAGATGACTTCAAGTTTCTAGAGATTTTGATACTTTATGCAGTTGAAAACAGTAGTATTCTAAGCACTGAATGTTTGTGGTACCAAAGTAAGACACTGCTCTTAATCAACTGAGAAGATCTTCTTGGTATCTTTATTGAATCCTTGTAGTGGTATTGTTTAGCTATCATTAGGAGAATAATCTTTATACTCTTTACCACTGTTTAAAGCTGAAACAGCTGTTTCTGGTGAAAAATCATGAAGAAATCATTTCATTACACATATCCAAGAACTAAGTTCTCCCATCTCGCATACCGACTTCATTTTTAATTCTCGTAAATCATCCCTGAGGCTGCAGCATGAATTGACAGTTTGGCATTGCTGTATACAAACACACCCTTAACAGAGTATCGGTATATTACAAATAAATTTCTGTGCCCTGTTTTTGTCTCTTGAGAATATGCATAACAATCTCTTAATTTGCAATCTGGCTTTTAATTAATACAGAAAAATAAATAATTAATTTCTTAAATATGAAAGTAGAAATCTTGTTCGAAAAAAACTCACGATTAAAAAATACCAAAAATATTTGTATCCATAGTATGGAGGCAGGAGGAGACTAAACGGATTAACGAAAGTCTTTCTGGAACTGAAAGAAAGGCAGCCCTTTGTGGCCTTCTAGAACAAGAGGCGCAGCTGATCGCTTCCATCAACAGGTACAAACTGGACACGGACGAGGAGAATCGACAACAAGCAATTCTGCGCTTCCTCGGCAAGGTCGGTCAACTCATTCTAGGCTGAACATAATACCAAAGTATAGGAATATAGCACACATTTGCCAGCTATCTGACAAAAGTCTCTCGTTTAGCTTTACCAGTTAAGCATGCAAATGCAAAATTTATCTAAAGTTTAATTACTTGGTTTTATTCATGTCAATACAGTTCAGTCATCACAACTCAAATTCAGTGTTCTTTTTTTTCAAAATGAGAATTTTCTCTTTCTGTGACAGATTATTGATAAAAGCTAAGAACAATATATCATTAAAGCTGTCATTTGAGTTTTAGCATAGACACAACTAGTTAAATACCTAATATAAAAATTTGCACTGAGTAGATAATTTTGTGTTATGTAACTTCTGTGCACAATTACACAATTCTGATGGCACTGTTGTCAGCATTAAAGGGTCAAATTTTAACACAACTCCTAATTGCTAATTTGATATTATAAAGCATGTCAATAATACCATTGCACATTTTGTATTGTGTGAATTATAATGATGTAGGAATCCATGCATGAAACTTATACTATGTTTATTCTTTATCTGTTTTTTGAAACTTTAGAAAGTTGCCAATCAGGTTTTCTTTCTTTCAAAAACACTTTGTTTCACTAATGAAAACTAAGGACTAAGTGATGTTCATTTCACTATATAAAGAAAAGTTTGATATTGCATTTTAATTATCAATACAAGCACTTAAATATGACTTTAAATGCTTGTAAAATTAAAATTTAGTTTTGAAGAATAGATTGATAGGTAACTTCCTTTTTTCCCCCCTACAAAATATTATCATATAGGAGCTGGATTAATCATTAATTCTCCCACTCAGCCTAGGTTTACCATATATCTGTCTTAAAAATAAGTATTTATTGTATGTTCATGTATAGATTAGAAAGTCAAAAGGGTATTGACTGAATCTTATTAAACAAAGGAACTAAGTTGACTGTTTTCATTAGAGCTGGAAATTTAGTCTGAAATGTTATTCTTTGCTGATCTGAGGGATGTAATGTACTTCAGTCTTTCATCTATAAAAACAAGGATACATTTTTATAAAGGTGATTTAGAATCACGTTTAAGCTTAAAAGTGAAACATCTTAGTTTCTATAGCTTTAAGAAATAAAAGTGCAAATAATTGGCAAGCAATCTGTAGCTGTTCATTGCTCTAGTACCCCCATAATATTCATCATAGGTACTCTAAATAATGTTCTTATGTTTCAGTGGTATAGAGTGAGGAATTCAGTGAGTGGTATGGAGTGGTATTCAGTGAGGAATGGATTTTTTTGGCATGAATAACTTGACAGCAGTGAGAGCTGTTAGGCTCTCTTCAGTCTAAGATGAGAAAAAGCTATTATGGAAGGGAAGACTTTACCAAATGAGTAAATAAAGTAAAAGGTGTACATATTTACATGAAATATAAAAGCACCATAATGGAGATGCAGACAGTAATAAGAAAAAAAAGTGTTACTTGTCTTTCACAACATTCTGTACAATGTTTGCTTCAGGCTGCACAAAAATATTGCCATAAATCTAAGTTGTACTAATACAGCCTGTCAGATAAGCACTTCAGCAGTATAGGGTTGGAAACATAGAATTAACTCTGAAAAAGCTGCCAATAGTGAGCAGCAAAAAAAGGACTTGTCATCCATTTCAGTTAAAGTTTTTTCCAAGATCTGAATGTACATCTATCTGGGCAAACATACAAACATGTTTTCCGTTGCGTTTGTGCAATCTAGTTAACCTGTGTTTTCACAAGGCTTGTTAGCTGGCAGAAGTTGACTCTGCTCTGACTGTAGATTGTGTCTCTCACCCTTCCTGTTCATCAAGACAGCACTAGGGAGAAGATCCCCAAGGAAGGAAGCATCCCGGATTCTGCCCGTTTGTTCATAAGATCATTTCTAGTTTTTGTTAAATGACTTCAGTGTAAAATACAGGAAAAAAAAATAGTCCTTTGAAACAGAAATAATGTTCCAGCAATGCATCTGCTGGAATAGCCAATTGCATCTGACTGTATCTGTCTGTGATGTGCAAAAGGAGAAGCGAAGTAGTAGGCACGTGCTGTGTAGTAACCTTGCAAACAAGGAGCTACTAAAGTGTCTGAAAAGCTGTGAACTCATGCCAGACCTAAGTCAGCTTTATCTAAGCCTGTGCATTTTATCCATCTATATGGCTAACTTAAATCAAATGACTCCATGAAGATACTTCATACCACCATAGGGTTTGAGAATTTAAATTTGCAATCCTTGCAAAGTCAGTGGTCCCACTGAATTTAGTGATAGTTTAGACTCCAAGATGAAATATGGAGCACTGTCACTAAGCTCATTTTAAAGTAGAACATATCCCTAGGGGAGAATATTACTTTTTTTTTAATATGCCCTATGCTAAAATTTTCAAGACCTGAAACTTTAAATAAATGGTACAATGCAATGCTTGCTCTGGTAGATGGTACTGTAAAAATATCAAAAGTAGAATTACCCTTCCATATTAGCCAAATGTTAGAGTTAAGTCCTTGTTTGCTCTGGTGAAACTTGATGTAACATAATTTACTTGCTCAGCTGGTGATCAGATTATTATAGCTCAGAGTGATACAAATTGTTTTTGAAGTGTGCACAGCCTAAGAGTTGGAAAGCATTTGATGGAAAAATCACTGAAATGGATACACCGTACACGCTCCGTGCCAGAGAGCTACTTGAAATCTACCGCAGCATTAGCATGGATGATATCCCCAAAGATGAGAGAATAGATGTGCTGCTGACACTCAGACGTACAGTGAAGGTATGTTTTATTTTTCTGTTTGTTTAGCTTGAAGCTGTACTTTCCATACCTAGGCATACAGTCACTTAATTGTGTTGACACATAAGCAGTGCTTTGCCTGGCAAACAGGTGCCAGAATCATCAACTGGCAGCAAGAGAGAAAGCCTGATGAACCAGCTGGCATGAGACAGTAGCTGTTACATGCCAGAAATGCTCTAATTTCATGTTACACCTCCTTGATGTGTGTTGATTTTTTTTTCAAGTTGTGTTATTTTGTTACAAGTGTTATAAACCCACTGTTTTAACCTTTTTGTGTGTGTGTTAATATGTAGTAATTTCAATATAAAATTTAGTTTAATATTCATTATAACTTGATAAAATCCATGAAAGATATTTTAATGGATTTTTTTTGCTTATTTTTCTCAACTCTTTGAAATACCTTTTTAGAACTCTTTTTGTTTGTTTTTGTCACTGTTACAGGTAGAAGTACTGATGCCCTCCACAACTCTCCACACTCTCCTACGCCAACTGCTACTACTAGTGCTCAGATGAAATAGCAGCTGGCAGCATGTATTCTGATGTTCTAGTTTTTTATTCCTGTACAAAAATCTGTACTTGCAGGATGCTCTTGGCATCGAAATAAGATGCAGCTTCCTGGTCTTATCGAAATACATGAATACTTGGCTGTTGTCTTTGGCAATCATTCAGTCTAAAATCAGTACAGCAATGGGAATGTTGCTAGCTAATGAACTTCTGCCCATCTTGAAGAGAGTGTTATTGTAGTGAACAAATTTCTGTAAATTAGTGTCTTATTTTAGGCAAAAGAACACTGAACTCATTGTCATTCACCTGTTGTCATCTATCTTTGGAGAATCTCTTCTTTAAGCATTTGAAATATTGAAGCTACTAGTTCCCAAACATAATCATCAAGTCACCCAGGCCTGTTGTGATTTTTTTTAAAGCTACCTAATATGTATATTTTTTATACTTCCTCTTGCATTTTCAAACGAAGCTTTGTAGGCAGATACTTCAGAGATATTAGAAGCTGAAACTTTTACATGTGCCCTATGTTTCATCTGAGATGCTCAGCCTTTAGTGCCTTGAGATTTACAATTTCTCACACCTTTGATTCAGGCTTTGACAGCCATAGTCCTGCCATTTGAAAGCAGAATCTGTAAGCATTCTCAGGGTTTTATTTTTCTGTTCTGTTTTTGTTTTTTAAAATCTATTTATGTTAGTTTTCTTGGATTTTTTTTGGAAGTTACCTGGCTTGTGTTTTGTTTTCTTTTCTATGATGACTTTTGTTTTCTGTTTTTTTTTTTTTTTTTTTTTTAAAAAAAAAAGAAAAAACATCAAGCAAGTCTCTCTAATTGGAGATATTAAATGAAACACTTGCAAAACTTGGTTCTTTAGATGTTTAATATTGGTTCTCCAAGAAGAGTGAAGCTGTTCAGAAAAATATATCAATTGTTAAGGTAATGAGATTTTGGTTTTATTAGACTAGATAGAATGGCCATGCATTAAATTTATGAAATTTGAGTACAAGTCTAAATTCTCCTGTTTTGGACATGAAACATAAAAGACCCCTTAGTATCTTAGAAATATTTGTTTGTGTGTATTGTTTTCTTCTTGTTGTTTGTAAACATACAAAAAGATAAATGATACATAATCCATTTCTTTTTCTAACCTGTTTTTTTTTTATATGATTTCATATTGAGGTTTTTTTTTCTTTCTGTGCTTTCTTTCAGGAACATGATTGTAAATTAACACAGGAAATAGTAGAATTAATTGACAGGGAAGTTGATCTTACAATGAGAGATGTGAAAGAATGCAACTTAGAAGGACTGAGGAAAAGAATTTGTACATTATTTCTACAGTATATTAAAACTCCAAAGTTTAACCCTGAAGTTGCTAAAATACTTAAGGTATATTCCTATTATACAGTCTGACAGAGGGGCCAGGAAAGTAAAGGCAGTGAACGGGAATGGGAAGAATTAATGCTTTTTATTATACTTCCTAAGAGCTTTTACTGTGGAATTGCAGGACAGGTTCCTTACGATGTAAAATCTTGCTAGAACACAGTTCTCTCACAGTTACCTACTTGCACAGGGTGCAGCGGTGGTACTCAGCGGTAGTACTGACATTGCCCAGGAGCTGTAGGTAGGAAATAGCAAATCTGAGATGTGTAAATGGGAAGGGCTTACAGGGCGATGAGGGTAAACTGCAAGAGGGGAGCCAATAGAGACATTTAATGAAGTGATATAAGCAGAAAAACTGCAGGTTTGTTCTTCCCCCTTGGAAGGCACAGGGCCACCATCAGTGATACGTAGTGAACTTGCACCTGAGCAGATGTTGTTGGCACAAGCATTATTGTGCAGCCCATTGATACTTCATGAAAAGCAGGTGTGGGTATGAAGTAGTGGACAACCATTTTAAATTATATGTATTTTTTCTTGGCTGACTTCAAAGTACATGAAAAATATAATACAGTGTTGCTGCTTTAAGCAGCATTCTGCATTGATCAGCAGAGGATTCCCCTACAGGAATAGAGGCCTAGGAAATGATAGCAGCATTTGGAAACAATTAAATTATTTCATTTCAGCTAGGCTTAGGTACCGTACGTATGACCTAGATGAGCCGCAACAGAGACTTTGTCTTCTGTAGCTTTTGGCTGACTGGACTTTAAATGCAAGGTTGAATTGCACCTATATCTGTATTAGAATCTGGTAACCTTCTAGCAACCAGCTGTACTGACAATAATTAAAAAAAAAGATGGCAGGTCATGGACAGACAGCAAGAGAGGGACCCAAAAGCTCCAGGTTACTCTCAGAAAGGATAAATGACCCCAATAGGTGGCTGGATTGTCAGACTGTTTAAATAGACCAATATTGGCCATGGGCCTTCCTCACAGGTTGTATTACATTCCTCACAGACCACATGAGGAGAGGGTTAGAGAGGTTGTTAACAGGTTTAGATTATTACCTTTCCCTCATCTTTTTCTTGACAAATAGCTCTGTTGTTTTTATATTCTTATGTGAAAATATGTCCATAATATCACTATTTGAGATTAAGGACAGATTCTAAATGAAAAAAAATACAGAAAAAATTACTTTCAAAAGATAATAATACAGAGGAAGCAAATAAGTGGATGATTACATAAATGTGCCAGCAACAGCACTGGGTAAGAATGTTTGAGGTCTTTATATAGCTAATGAGCAAAGGGAATGATTTATGTGACTCTCTTAACAAGTACAATAAAAAGACAAGTTTACTTTTGTTCTTTCTTAAAAACAGTATCTGTTGGGTATTTTAAAATAAATATTGCTAACATTTGAATATTAGACTATTTGGAAAAATATATGTAAAATGTATTCCTGATACTCTTAGGGTTACACACTTGTAATAGTCAGATATTCTGTGATCAATTGACCTTTTCTTTTTTTTTTAAAAAAAAATTCTTTTAGGTTCCGCCAGATCCCTTACAGCTTTACAACAATGTTAACTTCTGTCGGAGCTGCAAAAATTACCTGCCATCTTCTGAGTTCGCTGTTCCTGCCTGTTCACGCAGCATTGGCCGGTGTCGTTTGTGCTGTAAGGTTGATAACGAGGCTCGGAAGCGAGAGGCGTTTCTGAAGTACAGACTTATGCTAAAAAATCTCAGAGAATCTGAAGCCGATTATCAAGATGGTGCTAAAATTGTTTACTTAATTCAGGTACTGTCTGAAAGAATATTGCTAGTAATGAAAACTAGTGGCTTTGGGGATTTTTTTTTCTTTATTTTGTGTATGTTCTTCATAAGAGAGATTGGCTAAATGGTACAAAACTTCTTCCTGTGGTATGGAAGCTCTCAAGTTCTAGAAGTATAGCTGTGCTTTCAAAAGTGATTGCAAGCAATGGAGTAAAAGAAAGTAGAAGTCTAACTGGTGGATGCATCACCCAGCATCATCATTTTCTGGTCCTGCAGTGGCCATCTTATTGCTTGAAGACATTGGCATCATCATTAAAGCGACAATAATGTTTACATCACTCTCATGGCATTCAAGAGAGGATGTTTTTAAAGCATTTATAGACCACAGATAAGAATTCCTTGTAGTAAAATGACTATATTGTTTTGTGTTTTCAGAAGGCAAAAATGAAGAAGCTGAGGTTTTGACATTCTTGTTCAATGTTAGTATAATATTTATATGTTTGGAGGTGCTACTGCTTTGCCTTCATTAAGAGTGAGAATCATTAATTATTTTAATGGTATAAATTATTTGCCATCATCTGTATTAATCTAATCTTATGCATTGCTATTAAGAAGGTTTTCATTTCAAAGAACTTGCTTCTGTCTTCAGCAAATTTTCTCTTTAGTTCTTTTTAATTTATAACTTATTTTGTTAACAAAACATTTTAACTGGGAAGATTTTAAACTCTGGTAATTGCAGAGGTAATTGCAACATGTTAGTTATTAAAAATATTCAAATGTCCAGATTTTTTTGAACTGTTTCAGAGATTAAACAACTTCACAATTAGCATTTATTGCACACTCTTTGATCCGTATTGTCAGTATGTGCAAAACAAAAACTTGAGCCTATTTCAGGTGGCTTGCTTGGAGGAAAACATATTTAGAAGTCTGGTGTTGCAAAGTCTCCTATAGATAAAATCCTCTAATAATTTTTCCCTAACTAATATAGAGAAGAACTAAGGAGGGTGACAGAAAACCTTGCCAAAGTTTGGTGGTAGTTCATGACTCAAAATATTTTTATTTTTTCAGTGAAGTGGCACCTTTGATTGAAAATTAGTAGTGATCTCAGTAGTAAATTAAATTAACCCTAACAATGCAAGAAATGCATCTGTGCACCTTTCTGCACTAGAGCACCTTTACAAACAGGCTTCCCACTGTGCTTGTCTGGTTTCATAGCTATGTGATGTTATAACTTCATTAGGTCAAATGCATGACAGTATCATGTACATAATAAACTCTTCATAGGCAGGGAAGAAGGAGGGAGCAGAGTAGGCAGTGAGTTAGTGAGTCACGGATTGGAGATTTTGTCATCTTAATTTCCCATGTTTTCCAGACAAAATTATTCTGATTACATGTAAATTAACATAATTAAGCACGTAGTGATAACTCATTTACTGATGAACATGAAAATAAATGTTTAAGTGCCACACCACACTAACGGAAAATGTGCTATATATCTAGACATTGTTTAACCAAGTGATTATATGGCCTATGCATAGAACAGTGTTTCACTTGGAGCTTCTTTTGGATGCTTACATGGTCACAAGACTTTCCTTTAGAATTAAACATGCTTCTTTCTCAACACTGTTTTCAATTGCAGCAACAAGATATGAAGTACATGGTTGAGAAAATATGGGATTGTCAGTCAGCTCTGAGTGCCTGCGATGACCTCTATGATTTGGTTATGGTCAGATGGGATAAGCACCAGGAGTGGTCTCCATGGAACACTATTCTGCTGACTAAAGATGAGGCAGATGCACATCTTAAACTGTGCAACCTTCAGGAGGTATTTTTTTAAAAATATTTATATTTTAAGTGAATCCAGTTATATTTGGTCAAGTTACAGATTCCTTAGGCTACTCGAAACATGAATGGGTATATTGTGACCATTTAAATATTGCATCTGCATGATTAAATAAAACAGACATTAATCCATAGGGCAGTTGGAACAGTGGACCTCACATGCGTGTTCCTAGGCTCCATCTTGCCCTATTTTTTTCTGCAGAAATACGAAATCTAAGTGATGTCATCTATGTTGCTGTTTTCTGAGGACAGTCCCATGCCTACGCTCAACTGTTCTCTGAAGTGTATGCCCTGGATGAAAACCATTAGCCATAAACTGTATGACAGTTCTATGTCTGTGATTTCACACGTACTCTGTTCCCAATTAGTTTACTAGTATAAATTTGGCATTAAATAACAGAGTGGTTGTATATAGCTCTTTGTTTACAGTTTAAGCATTTGTAATTTAAGAAAAACTGACTAAATTTGCCTTACAGGGATGTCATTTAAGTGAAGATGTAATCTTATAATTTGTAACAGAGTTTGTAAAAACTCTCCAAATAAGCGCTGTTCCCAGTTGGAATAACTGAACAAAATTGTTAAAGAAGCCCTCTATCTAGATATGGTAGTCCGGTAAATGCCTCACTCCAGTGCAGATCACACCGTAGAATACTTGGCTTTCTAAGGCACAAGCAAATCCTGTGAACTGCTTTTAGTGATGGATTGCTAAAACTTTCTCCTCCGGTTACTGATTTATCGAAGTGATTGAAGGTCTTTGTTGTCTAGTGTCCATTTGTTCGAGGTGTTCTTAATTCATCTGTGAACAGAATGTGTGTGTATTACATATGCAATTTCTGTTATTAATTACCCATCTTTCTGCAAGTCTTGAAGGAATATGCGGGAAATAAACAGGCACAGAAAATGAATTACTCTGTCAATGAAAGCTTTGCTTTGGGGACAAAGTAAATTAGTCACAGAATTCTAAAAAGAAATGAAATTCCGACGCCCATGATATATATGCACCTAAACCGGATTTTCAAGCAGAAACTTACTGTGTTTGCGATCATTAAAAATCTATTTCAACGTGGAAATTCCCTTTTTGAATCTTCCTTTTTGATTTCACTCAGCAAAGCTCTTTGAGCAATGTGAACCTAGAAACTGATCTGTTCATGCACACAATTATGTTTCTGGAATTGTGCAGGGAAGAACTTCTTTGGCTGGCAAAGGATCTGATTAAACATTTATCTGGATTAACTTAATTATTTTGGATGTCACAGTCAAAAGATGCTATTAACTTGATCAGGTCCAGAATTTACACTCGTGTTTTAAATATGAATGAAACTTTTTTTCAGCTTGAAAACTTTTTTTTCAGCTTTGGATTTTTCCCAAATAGTGAAACTTAAACTACATATGGAAAGTGTGTGTATTTCATTTTTTTCACATTATTCAAGTATTCTGTAAAGCAAAACGTGAATAAACCTCATCCATGAGGACAAGTAGATTAAATCTTGAATTTCATATGCTAAAATACTATGTATTTGTGTAACATATTTTAAGCCTGTATACCATCAGTGTCTCCAAAAAAGTTACTTTTTTATTTCTAATATTTTCCTTCAAACTTTGCTATTATGATTTCTGAAATATTCTGATTTTTGCAACAGCTTCTATATGATAGCAGAGAGCAGCTGAAGGTTGATAGCAATGCCTTGCATCACAACTTTTAGCACACTTCAATGATACAGAAAAGACCAGAAAAGGAACAGAAAAGCTATACAAGCCTACTTGAAAACTATAAATTATTTTCACTTATTTCTTTCTCCAAAACTATAGCCACCTATAGCAAGGAGTCTTCCCCCTTTGCTGGTCACCAAAGCTTGGTTTCAAGAAATGAATATCAAATAAGCAAAAATAACACAAAATAAAAATGCAATGTTATGAGTTGGATTATTGCCTTTCATTCACTGAAATTAAATGGCCTCTTAACTGCTTCCTTTAATAGTTGTTCTTTCTAATAATGATGAAATTAGAGATAGAAGGGGTTTTATTTTTCAACTAAGTATTCTGTGTATTTATAAAGTATTCTGAGTTACTAATAATATTTAGAAATTTAGGAAATTACATCACTGCAGAAAGCATCACTGCACTACATCACTAACTGAAATGCTAGAAAATGCTTGCTTTCTTTTATAAATAATCACTCTATTTTATCAAGGAAATTTCTTATATTCGTTACTTAACAAATACTGTTATTTAAGCATTGCCCTTTTAATATTCAAAGGTAAGTAAAAATTTTTTTATATGAAGAGGATCCTATCTTGAGTGGGTAAAAATGTCAGGTGTTTTGATTTTTAAAAGGGGGTTAATATTTCATAAGGAGTGATTATTAGTTTCTAGTAATGGGTTGTAAGGTAGCAGTATAGAACAACTAAATATTTTATTTTCATATGTATTTTTATGAGTAAACTATATGGCATAATGATTAAATAGTCACTATTTGAACTGTGTAAAATATAAAGCAACATATAGATTGCTAGCTATTTTAATTGTTTAATGCAATTTGCATTTCCTTTCCTTTCAGGCATACGAAGCTGTATTTATTCACAGAATAAACCGCAAGCATATCCGGGCAAAAAAATATTTTACTCAGATTCCAGGGATGGCATCCATTTTACACAGGAGTGATGATCAGACTAATACAAGTGAATGTTTAATAGCTAAGCCTATTCCTGGTACACAAGCGTAACTTGTAGGATAAGTTAACTGTTATTGATTAATATGATTTCCCTCATGTCTTTTTATTTAAAAATGTCTTTTTTCACCAATACCTGAATCCTTGGAAAAAAAAAATTGTGGGGATCTTGACCAGTCAATATAACTGCATTTCACATTTTACAGCGACCTTATTTAACAAAATATTGTTGATGAGCTTTTTAAATTCCAAATAAATATTACAGCAGTGACTATTTGTGTGCGCCTTTGTTGCTTGAAACATTTTGTTTGCAATATAAATACTCCTGCTGAGGGAAGGTAGCTAAGTCTGTGTCACTTTTTGTAATTTAAAAAAAAAAAAAAGTAATACAATTTATTTTTGGTTCATTTTGCTATTTTAAGAATATAAAGCCCCAAACCCCTTAATCCTTAAATTCCTGCAGAGCAAGAGAATTGATATGCCTTTCCAAATACAGGTGTCTTGCCTTGCAAACATTTGTGCAAAAGGATATTTTTACCTTTTTGGCTGACCTTACTGCTCATAATGGAACTTTCAGCATGTATTCATTGTATCTGAGACCTTCAAATTATTGTAAATCAGAGTCATGATTTGAAGTATACAAACCGGTCTGTTTTGAACTTGTTAATTTCTTGAAGACTTTGTGTCATTACAGCAGAAGACAGTTCTCTCTTCAAACATATTTAGTTATGTTTATGTTTGGTTATAGTTACATAGAAAAGTATTATATGATATCTTTAGGACAAGAGGAAATGGCCTCAAGTTGCGCCAGAGGAGGTTCAGATTAGACATTAAGAAAAATTTCTACATGGAAAGAGTAGTGAAGCATTGGAACAGGCTGCCCAGGAAAGTGGTGGAGTCACCATCCCTGGCAGTGTTCAAGAAACGTGTAGATGAGGTGCTTAGGGACATGGTTTAGCACGTTGGTGTTGAAGGGCTTATAGATGGACTTGATGAGCTTGAAGGTCTTTTCTAATTATAATGATTCTGTGATTGTTCACTACCTTTTCATATAATTTTTAAGCAACACAGTGACAACCAGTAGACAACGGTTTTCATTAAAATCCTTTACACAGTTCAACTATAAATATTAAAGGCAAATAATAGTGAAGATCCTTGTGCTTTTTTGAGTAATATAAAAAGATGCAAGATGTTCAGAATAGCAATTAAAGAACACTAACATGAAACACTAATTTCAATTATGCTAGATTAAAAAAAAATCCTACTTTTGAATTATGATGACTATACTTGGCTTTGACTAGATACCCAAAATATAATTCTTATTCCAGTTGCCATCAGTTCTCTTTTGAGGTAAATTGCCATCAATCATGTTTTTCACATCATTCGATTCCTATTCTTTCAAAAGCCGTTTCTGGATACCACTTTGAAAGACGATGTAAGTTTCAATTTTATACAGAGGCAGTCACGTATCTTCTTCCCCTGAAAGTTCAAAATTACCACAGTCAATAGCCAAAGATTTAATGCATTTTAAGTGCAACACAAATTTTTACCTATTTGTACAGAAAGAATCCTTAGCATGAATAAACACTTTCAAGACTGCCTTCTACATAAAAAAAAAAAACAACAAAAAAAGAAATTGCAGGAAACCTATTCTCTTGCAGGCCAAAACACTTTTCTTGCAAGTACTAAATAGAATCTAGAGGACATTGTTCAGTTTTGGGTTCCCCAAAACAAGAAAGACTTTGATCAACTAGGGAAAGTTGAGCAGAGCGTCATCAAGATGCTCAGGGAGCAGGAGCACTTGACCTTGGAAGGGAAGCTGAAAAGAATGGACTTGTTCAGACTTGAAAAAAAAGAAGGCTTGGGGAGACTGCTAGCAACCTTCCAAGACAAGTGAGGAAATTATTGAGAAGATGGAGCCAGGCTTATTATAGAGGTGTCTGGTGGGAGGATGACAGAAAGCTGGCCACAATTAAAGGAAAGGAGCTTCCCACCAAATATAACAACAAATGTTTTCAAGATGAAGACAGTCAAGCACTGGAAGAAGCTGCTTCAACAGGTTATGCTGTCTCTATCCTTGAAAGTTTACAAGACCCGAATGAAAAAAAGTCCCGGAGACTAGGTTCAAACTCACAGTTTATCCAACTTCGAGCTGGTGTTTGGAGCCCTGTAGTCCCTTCCAACCTGAATTACTCTGAATTACTCTATGATTCTACAAATTTCAAAGTTCTCCAAGTGCGCATTATGGTGAAATTGATGGGCTAGAGGTCTTTCACATTTCATTCAATTAGGTCCTTACTAAAATCATTTTTCAGGGTTTGGATTTTTTTTTTTTGAACAACTATTGGTAGAGTGAAAGATAACAAGTGTAAAGAGGTACATTACCTACATAATTCATGCTCTGCTGTTTGGCCTTCAGCCCATGCTTTTTTTCAAAAAAAAAATTATTAATTTTGCAGAAGCCCAATCTTAGCCAATCCTGCCTTAAGACTCAGATCCTGGGAAAAAGAGTGAACTGGATTGCTCATATGCTTAAACTTCTGCATGTATTGAACTAAAAATCAGGAGCTGAATTCCACTAAAGGTAACAAAACTCTTCCTCTGAAATTAGCACACACTGTTATCAAGTCTATGGTTCATATGCTGTTGAGGAATACAACACAGTTTCTGGCTGTTTGCTCCTAAATCTGTTTCCTTCTTTAAAAGCCACTGCTTTTTCCTGGTTACCTTTTTTTAGGGCAAAACGTTTTTCCCAAAGAAATTGCAAAGTCAAAGAAATTGTAAGGATTTAAGTTTCAAGTAGTCACCAATAGTTTGCAACTTTATGAACATGTATATTGCAACTTTATTGAATGTACAGAATCATAGAATCATTATGGTTGCAAAAGACCTTCAAGATAAAGTCAAACTGTAAACCCATCATCACCATGCCTGCTAAACTTCAGGCCCTTTCTGCTTGTCCTTCTTGTGATTTCAAGCATACAGGCAGTATTTTTGGTAGTTATTCTGAAGGCGAGATCATTCCCCTCCTCACTACAATCTCCTTTCACGTAGTTGTAGAGAGTGATAAGGTCCCCCCTGAGCCTTCTCCAGACTAAATAACCCCAGCCCTCTCAGGCAGTCCTCATTAGATCTGTGCTCCAATCCCTTCACCAGCTTTGTTGCCCTTCTCTGGACACGCTCTAGCACCTCAATGTCTTTCTTGTAGTGAGAGGCCCAAAACTGAACATAGTATTCAAGGTGCGGCCTCACCAGCGCTGGGTACAGGGAACCATCACTTCCCTGATCCTGTTGGCTACACTGTTCCTGATAAAACCCAGGAGGCTGTTGGCTTTCTTGGCTACCTGGTCACACTGTTGGCTCATGTTCAGCTGGCTGTCGACTATCAGTCCCAGATCCTTTTCTGCTGCACAGCTCTCCAGCCACTCTGCCCCAAGCCCATAGTGTTGCATGGGGTTGTGGCTGAAGTGCAGGACCTGGCACTTGGCCTTGTTGAACCTCATACTGCTGGCCTCAGCCCATCAATCCAACCTGTCCAGATCCCTCTGCAGAGCCTTCCTACCCTCAAGCAGATCAGCTCTTCCTCCCAGGTTGCTGTCCTCTACAAACTTGCTGAGGGTGTGCAGGGGGGTTGGACTAGATGACCTCTAGAGTTCCCTTCCAACCTCAAACATTCTGTGATTCTGTGACTCAATCCTCTCATCCAGATCATTGATAAAGGTATTAAAGAGGACTGGACGCAACACAGTGACCCCCACTCGTGACCAGTCACCAGCTGGATATGACTCCATTCACCACCGCTCTCCGGGCCCAGCCATCCAGCCAGTTCTTCCCCCAGCGAAGAGTACAGCTGTCTACGCCATGAGCTGCCAGCTTCTCCAGGTGAGGGCAGGGGAAGGCTGCGTCAAAGGCCTTACTGAAGTCTAAGTAGGCCATATCTACAGCCTTCCCTCATCCACTAGGCAGGTCACCTGATCATAGAAGGAGATCAGGTTGGTCACGCAGGACCTGGCTTTCATGAATCCATGTTGACTAGGCCTGATCCCCTGGTTGTCTCATGCATGCGGTGTGAAGTATGAAGAATGAGAGAGTTCTCCACATTGCAGTGCTAAGGACTGGAAAAGCTGGCTGAGAACACCGGAGCCAGATTAAACCTTGTATTGCTAGGATAAGTATTTTATAAATGTGTATTTATATGATACACATATGTGTTTAATAATATCTACAACATGCATAAAATAGATCCAAAATTGCTGCTTTATTTGAAACCTGACTGCTTTTAGCAGCTATTTACATATGAAAATTTCATCTGTGTGAATGAGAATTGTGTTCTATTTGCAGACACGTAACAAAGATATTTGAACATATCATCTACACAGTGAATAGCAAAGCTTTCAAAATATCAAATTCTTAGATTTATTCTATTCCAGTTGGTAGCACAAAGGTTTTTGAAAGACACTTCGTAGTTTTTCCTGTTCTACTGTGTCACACATTTTATTTCGAAGACCTTGATATCCTACTTATCTGATACATGGCTCAGTAGAATGTGAAAAGCAAATCTATCTTATTCAAGCTTTGTGCATTGGTGTGAGCACTGGGTTTGTGAAATTACTCCTACTCTTACCAGTACTAGATTAAAATAATGGTTTGAGAGTAGAGGAATGACATTTTCCTTGCTGAATTCTAAACTTCATGAGCATTTTCTGCCTGCTAGGTGCTTGCAGGTCATTGAACCCACAGCTACCCCACCCTAGGGATGAAGTTTAGCTGTTGTACAGCCAGCTGCTTGTCTCCAAACAAGATGAGCGCAGTTCACGCTTCTCAGCATTGCCATCTCTGAGCTTATGCAATGTGAAGTATTGAAAACAGCTCATGAGTTAAGCAGCCTTAAAAATGTGAAAACATGATACAAAATAAGGAGGACTGTCACTCCCATGGAGAGATGGTAGCATAACGAATAGGAAGGGGACAACAACCTTCAGTTGTTGAGTTTGTTACCTTTAAAATACATGTTTTGAAACAAATATAGCTTGTTTCATTGTTTGCAAAATTATTTTTCATCATATAATCTTCACCAAAGAGGTGAACAGAGTTATGAGGAAACAGGGTAAGATAGTTTTAGAAGTGGGAACATGGAGGAGAATGTGAACGAAGGCAGAGGTGAATTTGGAAGAAGGATATAGGGCTGAGCAGGACAGACTTAGGGAAATGAGAGCCAAAATACTAAAATTAAGTACTAATATTAAGAAAGGAGCTACACGCCTCCTGAACTACAATCTCATCTTTCATAAGCTGTGACCTTGAGAAAGTCTCTCTCTTTCTGCACTTGTCTTTCTTTTTTTATAAGTATATGATAGTTAATTAGCCATAAGTCAATGTTTATGCAGGCAAAGTAGTACAGTATTCCTAGCAACACTGCTGAAATTCTTTGACTTAAACGATTTGAGGTGTCAAGAGAGGAGATATAAAAGGAACATTCATTATTTTGAAGCCAACTTCAAATGACTGCCTAGTTTGAAATACAGCTTTTCAGTTTATAACCTGCAGGAATTCTTCCTTTATATGATGTTACCTCTCCTTGGGTAAGGTCTAATAATAAAGTCAAGTGAACACCGTAACACAACTTTTCAAGGTCAGATATCTCTTGCAAACAGCAGCTTTTCTTTGATAACTTCAATGTTCCTTCAAGAAAGGAGCCTTATTTTCAATTAATATTTAAGAAAAATGTATTCTCAAAAAAAAAGTAGAAAAATACCGGAATACTGGAATACACCAGTTTTTGTGATTCAAAAGAAGAATAATTCCTGGAGACTGTTACATGACCTTAGAAAAATCAATGAGGTCATCACAGATATGGGAGCCTTACAGCCTGGACTCCCTTCTCAGCAATGTTACCCCAAACATGGACTTTGATAGTAATTGATGTGAAAGACTGTTTCTTTATTATTCCATCCACACTGCAAGATGCATCTCGGTTTGCATTTTCTGTGCCTTCTATCAATGCTATGGAACTGCATAGCAGCAATATTTTTGGGAATCTTTTGGGGAATTTAGGATTAGCCACATGGATTAAGGGAATATTGCAGATAATCTTGATATGTTTGATAATCTTTGTTTGCCTTTTAATTTGTATCCCATGCTTGTTAAAAACAATTCAATGTTTAATAGACCGTGCCTTGAAACAAACCTTCTTTATAAATAAAGAAGGGAGGATTTCAGGAGCAGACTCAAATGCACCAGTGGATCAAGAACGACCTTGGGAAAAGAACACTGTTATGCTTGTCGGAATCAAACCATGCAAGTAAACACGATAAACTAAATAACCTTTGCTTAGTTAATGCAAGTTGTAAAACTTTGAATCATTGTGTTAACTGTATTTCGTTTATTGTTAGAGTTCATTGTTAGTGTTAGTATTGCTTCTTATTATGTATTCAAGATTGATTGACTGATCATTTAACCAAGTTATGGCTGCTCATTTAAAAATAGCTATGGCAATGCAGTAGCTAAACAAAGAAGGGAGGCATGTTGAGGCCCACTTCAAGGACAATAATATGGGATGTCTCGTTAGTAGGTAACCAACTTCAAGGGCGGCAGTGCAGGTACTCTGTCAGCAAACAACGAACAAAAGAGCAACTGTACTGCTGCTTCTAGACACTGATGTCATCCTTTAGGCTATTGGCTGTGCTTTGCATGCCTGTAGACGAATAAGGTACTGTATCTGGGGGATTTGCCTTAAGTATGTACGCTGATACTCTGGCTCATTGCCTTGAGACCCTGCTCCTCAATATGGCCACAGAAAACAGTTTTCTTGCTTCTATATTAGTGTTTTTAAGACTTAGACTGATTTACTTTCAATTGTGATTGCTTATTATTAGCAAATGTTCAGACAGAGGATCTTTCTTGCTTATTTGAGAACTGGGTAAATTCTTTAAATGCACAGCTGCTTATCTTCACTTGGATTTCGGAATGTTATTCACAAAATGATTCTGGAATTTATTGGAAACAAAACCTGTGCTTTGGAGTCTACCTTTTTCCTGGATGATGTGATCAAATGATTGCAAACTGTCACTGCCTCTTCAGGGAAGAATAAACTGTAAGTTGAAATTTTGGCATTTTCACTTCAGAGAAGTAGGTAAAGTGATAGGCTTAAGAAGTCTCTTAAATCCTAGCTTGAATGTTGGGTCCATGAGGAATACATATTCCATAAATACTTCCAGCCCATAGATACTTGTCTGACAAGGAAAAGGTGTCCACATGGCTTTTATTTTTTGACACTATCAGAGACATATGGCCAGTTATCACCTGCAGCTTCCCTCATAGAAGTCTTTCTTGAGCAGGACTCTTAAAGTAGGAAGCAAAATTTACATATAACCCCCCTCCAACACCACTGTTAAGCCATTTCCAGAGGGAAAAGCTCCAGCTGTCCTCCTACAAACACAAGTGGATAATATGTTAATTTGTCAAAGAAGATCATGCATTTTGCCTTCCCTCTCCCAAGAGGAGCCTCCGTACTTTTTCCAGGTTGTAAATTCCACTATTTATATCTCAAAGGGAGAGAAACTCAGAGTAAGCAGTGTGCACCTCCAAAAGGTTGTATCCCAAAAAGATGTCCCAATTAGCAAAGTATTATTTCCATTCTTATATCAAAAGGTGCTTGTAAACAATGATAAAAGAGAATTACAGATTGAGTAATGTGAGGGGAGCAAAGCAACCAACATTTGGCACTTTTAGAAAATAGTTTTTTTCAGAAGGAAATAATATTAGCAATAGCTGAGATAGATAGAAAATATTCTCTGAGTCCTGAATTAATTTGTTTTTGTTTGTTTCCCTAAAAGAGCCAATTTTGAATAAGTCCTGATCTGGAGGATTAGATTCTTTAATATACTAAGGCAGTACTGAGTTAGCTCCTAAACTTATGGCTCCAGCATCATATTTGCATGCAAAAATTGATGTCACTTCTTTTTTTCTACTTGCCTGTAGATGATTCTTTTTTGCTTATCTCACACTGTAAAATGCCCTTGTTATAAGAGTCGTCCCTTTTAGCCCAGCTTACAGTCCTAAATTTATCTTCCTCCCACAGAAATCTGGCATTCACACTTTTTTAAAATTCAGAATTTTTTACATCAGGGCTGAAGAATTACGAAGCCAAGGGGATATTTTCCCTGTTTTAAAGAAAAGGATTTGTTATGTGAAGGAATTTAAGCCTCCTTCATTTCAGTGTTTTCATATTCCCTGTTATTTCTTCTGAGACCCGTATTTCAACTTTGACAGGATGAGAATTATGTGGGATATGTGCTATACATGGGACTGTAATGAAAGTGTGTATAAATTCAGAGAAATGGGTAGAAATAGGTAAATATGGGGTATGTCAATATTATAACTTCACCTTTAATATAGTTATTTTAACTGAGTGGAGATATAGTAGTGGTATAGTTTTTCTTCATTGTGGTTTTCTAATGATTTTACTGTAGCATGATTTTCAGGATTTTCAAATTAATGCTGGCTTTAGAAAAGATCTTCAAGCAGTCGTTGTGTCCTGACAGTGTTGGTCATATTTACCAGCTAGTGAAGGAGACCCACTAAACCCTGCTTTTGGTTGGATCATAGAAAGAATAGTAAGATCTACTTCTTTAGCGTTCTTTTTGCAAAGCAAGATTTTTTGTATCGTGCCAGCTAAATGCATCATGTCTGTAGAGTCACAGCCTAAGAAGGCATGGGTTTAGTGGAATCTGAAACAGTGTAGTAGTAATGTACTATTTCTGTAGACTGGCAACTGACTGCAATGCAGATCCAGCACATACCACAAAATTGAGAGTCCTGCTCAAAATTCTGGTGATTTCTTTAGTATTCTACGGACAATCACATTGTACATTCTTGGTTTATTTAATAGTGACCTTCAATTCTTCTTTTTTTGTTGTTGCTATTTTTTTATGAAGAGTAAGCAGTAGATGGGGAGACTTTACAGTACACTTTGTAGACAGAAGGTGCACACAAAACTTTCAGGAGTATTCTAGATGGCTATGTGAGAAACTGGATCTCTAATTTTCTAGAATACAACCATTTCTGGTATTAACAAAGAAAGAACTTTGCCTGCACCTACCAATTTATTCTAATTTATACTAAATTCTTTATATTCTGGATTGTAGTTTAATCTGCATGTTCCCTTAAGCAAAAAAAAAACAAAAACAACAACAACAAAAAAACACACACAGCCATTTGCGAAAAGGGAGATGGAGCATTTCTAAACTACCTCTGACTAGAAAAGGGAGAGTTCAAATGAAGTGTTACCTGGTGGTAATGGCAAGAAAAGGCCATGTAGGTGATTGGCTTTATTACTTTCCTCAAATATGTTATTTTTGCTA